ACGAATGCTTAAACCCAGGTTCTACTATGAGTCGACATTAACAATGAGTCAAAGGCAGGTACAAATTGAATAGGCATGAGGAGCGAAATGAATTGAGTAGTGATAGCAAAGCTTCCTTGTGCATGACTGCCTCAGACAAGTAGAATGGTCCGATACTTCCAGCTATTCACAGATTACTGTACGATCCCGTATGATAACGTCGCTACGCTACGTTCCCGTCAAAGCCAGCTCATATGAGAGTCTTCGTGAGGTTGCGCACTCTTAATAAATGTTTAGGACCCTTAGTTTGGGCTGCCACGCCAGACACAGTCCAGCCATGCAACTGCAGCACGCAGTTATATTGTAGGCATGATGTTTTCGCGTCATGGAGAGGTCATCTGACCTCACGAATAGGCTTTAACTTCACCTGACCTCACGAAGAGTTATAACTGAAAACAATATACAAAAGACAAAATGAGTTCCGTGTTAAATGAGTCTATAGGAACCTTTTTTTCTCGTATTTTTAAAAGACTTTTTGTAGAATTTTGAGCTAGCGGCACTATCATATTACAAGGATTACCTAACCCCGGCAACGCAGGATTAAGCCGCTAATTCATGAATGATATACTAACAGGCTATTTGGTGGATAGTAACTGTAAAACCATTTAGTGTAATTGGTTAACCTGCTGCTGGTTTAGTAACCACGAGCGTATTAGAAATGGTAATGCGGTTGAACAAAATGAAATGATGACTCACCCCATTGTCAGTTCTGCTATATTCGTGAATTAAATTGCCTATTGCGAAGCGCAAGTCGCAATTGCGCTGCGGTGTTCGACCGTGAACTGAAGGCCACTCGTATCCATGATACCAGAGTGTGCATGAACTGAAGGCCACTCGTNATTTTAGCGCTGGTGCTGGAGAAATATTGCAGTTCAAGTCTGATAGGAATTTTAAATATTTAAATATAAAGTTGATATTTTAGCGCTGGTGCTGGAGAAATATTGCAGTTCAAGTCTGATAGGAATTTTAAATATTTAAATATAAAGTTAATATTTTAGCGCTGGTGCTGGAGAAATATTGCAGTTCAAGTCTGATAGGAATTTTAAATATTTAAATATAAAGTTGATATTTTAGCGCTGGTGCTGGAGAAATATTGCAGTTTGGGGTTGCAACGAAGTAGTCGAGCATTTAAAGACTGAAGGTGCCGAATATTTTTGAATGTCATATTGGAGTGAAATTATATGTGAAAGTCTTCAACGTGCGACAATTGTAATTCGAATTGATTTATTTTGATATCGATCCTCAATAAATTTCGATCGTTATTGAAACGATCCTCAAAAGGCATATTGACTCGAGAAAAATATTTCAACTTATAATCTCCCAATAACGTTAGACCTGAGCATATAAAGTCAAATTACTGTAGTCAAAAGTGTGAATTTCAACTATCAAAGCGAAGAACCAAGTCTGCGTATAACAGTTGTCACTCATTGATATTCGAACTGTTATAACATGTAACAGTAAAGAATACATACGAATATAACAGTTCGAATACAGTTATCAAACTTTATCAAACTTGTTAACTAAATTGTATGCACTGGGAATGAAAGACATGCAACATTTCGAACAAATCAACGTACGGCGGCGCAGATGAACAATAAAGACTAAAGCGTTAATTGGGAGATCTGAGAGTCGAGAATCAAATGACGTCTTTGGTATTATTGATGCATGATTGGGCTCTAAAATGTAATAATCAAGACACATTACAGTTTTATTGGTATTATTGATGCATGATTGGGCTCTAACATGTAATAATCAAGATACATTACAGTTTTATTGGTATTTATGATACGTGATTGGGCTCTAACATGTAATTATCAAGATACATTACAGTTTTATTGGTATTTATGATACGTGATTGGGCTCTAACATGTAATAATAAAAACACATTACAGTTTTCAAACCGTCTCTTGAAACAGTGCTTGATTATATGTCATAATGATCCTTTTATCACAACCTAATTTCCATGATAGGGCTATAACGAAATTAATCGATATCCGATTGTGTTAAGGTCAGACTTGGGTTAGTGAAGGACGGGTATTTTTACTCTCAGTCCCAAACGACTGACGCTGATCAATGCGCAGGTTTAATTAACTAATTAACATACGTGCTATTGATGACAATATCGGCAAATGAGAGATGAATGGCAGATGAGTATCTAGATAATATTTCTTCTGCATCGGTTCTTCGAATTTCTGCATCGGTTTCTTCGTTAGAGACAAAAGTTCATATGTTTTGAAGGCTGTGTTCGAAGCACCGAATGCAAGATATATCGGAAAGCTGTTTAAAGCGAGCTGGCCAGCCGTACACATAACGATGTCACCTTACGAACTACAATACAAAAGCATCGTGAAATTTATTCAACCGATTCAAAAAATGAGCATTACTTATTGGTATGCTATATATGCTAATCTAACGGTGACCGTTATTAAAACAAAAAAAAAATTTCTTAAGGAGCAATTAACTCCAACAAATTCACTTGTATAATATTTTCAAAACAAATCCACGTGTCATGTAGCCAGACAAAACTGGTGCGCATGAATGTGTGTCGTGTCAAATTCATTGTCGTAGACTGTATTAATAAAACTTTGCAGGGGGCAATTTCAGGCCAATGCTCAAGATTGAGATTAAATTGGTTCATTTATGAGCTCACCGCGGCGCAGCTCGTAAACTTTTGGGCGACTTAAGAGCGGCGCTAGGAAGGCTTTCCGTCGGCCGATTTTGTTTCGCCATGATTTTTACCAGTGCGCAAGTCTGGGCTGCAGATAAATTGCCACCTTAGTTTTGATTGTATTTCAATATTTAATCCTTCCCTACAACGTTACCTAGAGATGCACACGTGCCTTTAGAAAACTATGCCCCTTCTCTTTTTCGAGTGCCACGTTGGGTTTGTTCTCAGTCTTATGCCATCCTTCGTTGAGGTGAGGGCATCTCTCTAAGTGTTGGTTCCTACTAAACAACGCAGTATGTAGTCCGGTACTTAGTTGCAAAATTAAATTGATTTAATTGGGGAAAAACTTCAAGTTATTCAAATGACCAACAAATCACGAGTGTTTACTTAAAAATTTCCTCGACGTAGCGGAGACTAACTATTTTGGGAATTCTGAAAACGTCGAAAATATAGTTAGAGCTCTCTAATTTAACAGGCAAATTATTATATTGTTGAGGAGAAATCTATAACTGGTTATAGTGAAACCTGGCCTCAAGAACTTTATTCGTGCTAGAGCTTGGTTCGTATAGCAGTTCGTTCGTAAAGCGGAGATTATTTTTCCCTTTAAAATTAATGGTAAGCACTCCGATCCGTGTCGTACCTCCAATAAAGTTAGACCTTTTACGTGGATGTGGTACTTCCAATAGGCTGAAAGAAATAAAACATTTTCATGCTAAATTGCTAAATAAGGCATCTTTCTGACCCAAGATCGCGGAAATCTTGCTTTTTTCGGCCGTTTTCCTTGGTCAAATCAGCAATTGAATGCCGGCCCCAGGGTTTTTATAATGTCCAATTTATCATCAATAGATACAGACACTAGTTTTGCCAATACGTCTTTTTTACAGTACCCGGGGTCGTACAGCAGACCACGGTTGTATAGTGGAAAACATTTTTTTCCGATTGGACGATTCGTAAGTCTACCTGGGCAGAGATTAACGAAACTTCGCTAAGTACACGTAACTTTTCGTACTTACGTTCAAAAAGTTACGTATTGCCTAAGTCAGTCAAAATTTGGCATTAACAAAATTGTATTACGCAAGACTCATCTGAAAAGGTATTATCAAAACTATCCAACTAACTGACCAATCAGAGGCTTCGAATTTGCCATTCCTAGCTCCTGTCGACTCAGTACGCTGTGCGCGTGGTTGAAAGGAGGTTGTATTGTGTCAGCGTCATCTGCGATGACTGACTAGGGAGCATATGGAGAAATGAGTAAGACGTTGTCTAAATAGCAATGACAACGCCTTGATTGTAATTTTTTGTAATCAAGGCAAAAAATTACATTTTCCCCATTCAAAATTTGAGGACTTTTTAGAGAGCTACCTAGAATAAGAACATTTTTTGAGTTGGAGTTCAACTATCAGCGGAGAAAGGAAGGAATTTGTGTACGTAGCTAGAAAAATGGTTGGCTTGTCAAACTCCACTTAATTTTGAATCAAAAAGTAATGAAGATATTATTTTAGTGAATGATCATAAAACTCTTAGATACGAATATCAAGATTTGCTTGCAAATTATAGCACAAAAAGAAAAAAATTAGCTGGCATAACTTAATTGAATTTTTTTCCTAAAAAGAACCGTTTAGCACGATCACATATTATGCCTATGTTGAATTATTGACAAAATTCTATCACAACTCACCGTGTTGCAAGTAAATCAATAGTTTTATATTGCTTCGGCACACTCAAAACGTCTACGTAACTCCATTTACGACACCTCCGAGCAGGCGTAGAGCTATGTACGGCTTCTTGTACGTAGCTTCCGCGCAAATTTTTTGATAATACCACCGCTAGAGTTACTTCTTCACATCAGCACTTACGCCACACGTAAGTCGCTACGTGTACTTAGCGATGTTTTGATAATCCGGCTGATCGCAAGGGAGCACATTCGCAAGGGAGCAGGGTTCTTCGGTATCTTAACTAATTACAGAAAATAATTCAGCAATCCTAATTATTCCGTATCAGGCTGCATTGTTTTTGCGAAAATATGAAGTATACGCAGAGACCTACCTACTTGTTCAAAAAATTTCAGTGCTGAGGTAACCCGAACACCTTATTTGTTCACAAAGTTGATTCCGAACCAAAGGGTTTTCCCGTATCCGAACTCCTTATTTCAACTACGACGTCTTCAAAAGCTGGATTTTCGTTTCTTTGAGAAAAATTTTTTATTACAAAAATTCGAAATTTACAAAAATTATCTGTTATTTTTTCATAGCTGAGATTTAATATTTAAATTTCAGGAACTTTCTAACCTCTTTTCAGATAGCCTAACGATAAAATTACTTTGGTGAACGAGGGATAATAAGTCATGGAGATTGCACCACTGCTGGCGTCCGCCATACTTACATTGGTCGAAGCTATTCAAGAAACTTCTTATTCTTACGCTTTCATACCTGTAGCGGTGGAACAACTTCTTGCAATTGGCGTGGCATCGAAGAACTACTCTGACGTGAACGTCATCCTCTGCTCACAACTGGCTGCTCTGGACGGCATCGCCTACCCAACTCTGTGCGTGCACAGCACCAGCGGGCAGTGCCTGCTGCTGAACTCCACGTACCCGGCCTTGTTCAACCGAACTTATTCACGATCCAGGGATTACAACTGCTACATTGGTCAAGAGTATAAGCGTTCAAAAGTCGTAGGTAAGTGAAATAAAATACGTTGATTTATCTTCCTCTAGAAATTTCATCTGTTCAATTTACCCATATTCACGTCATGCTGCATTTTACGAGTCTTATCCAAAATAAGAATACGTCGCAAAAAGTACAGTTGCAAGGTGATCTTGACAGGCTGGTTGACTGGGCTGATAAGTGGCAGCTGCGTTTTAACGCTGACAAATGTAAAGTTATCCACCTTGGCAAGAATAATGAACAGCAAGATTACAATATGAGAAGACACGGTTGCAACGACAGAGTGACGATGTCGAAGTCGACAACGGAAAAGGATTTAGGAGTTAATATCGACAATGAGTTGAAATTTTCTAAGCATATTGAAGGTCAAGTTAATAAAGCCAATCAACGACTTGGACTGATCAGACGCTCTTTCGAGTTCCTAGATTTGGAAACGATGAAGCAGTTGTTTGTTGCTGTCGTGCGCCCGAACCTGGAGTTTGGAAACGTCGTGTGGTCACCGAAATTTGAAAAGGACAAAAATTTAGTAGAGAGTGTTCAAAGACGCGCAACAAGGATAGTTCCGGGCTTGAAAGGCAAGTCCTATGAGGAAAGATTAGAGATTATGAAGCTTCCAAGCCTCCATTATCGACGTCTGCGTGGGGACCTCATTGAAGTATACAAATATACTCATGGCTTATACAAGGTCCCAGAAGGATTACTAGAATTTGAAATAAGAACCAACACCAGGGGCCACGTCTATAAACTAAAAAAACAGCGTTGGAACACATCCATGCGACAACATTTCTTCTCGCTTCGAGTCACCGACATGTGGAACAGCCTCCCTGATAGCATCGTTGAAGCTCCGAGTATGAACATCTTCAAAAACAGACTAGACGAAGCTATGCAGGAGCATATGTTCAGTCTTAAAATGCCTAGCAAATTACGGAGCAGGCAATAAGTCCAGCAGCTATCTCAATCAATCGTCAGTTATGGAAAGATCGGGTTCCAAAGGCCGGATCCCTTGTGAATCAAGTCACGAAAAGTTCAAGAATCGGCAACAGGCCATGGGCCTATGTCTTCAACGCCGACACTTCTATTCTATTCTATTCTAAACAATTCATAACAATCAAAGTTTATTCATAAAACAGGCAACAAAAACAGTCATTAAGAGTAAAAGACATTGAGCGAACCGTTTTCTGCTGATTTGATTTTGAACCTGAGATTTTATTTTGAACACAATATTTTTCAAAACTTTTCCGATTAAATGAAACAATTCTTCGATAGTAGGAAGTATATTGCGAATTTGAAGCTTTATGAAGAACGAAAAGTCATCTCCAGATGCAAGTTGAAAGTAGTGAAGCACACAGGTGATATTGTTATAAATATAACGAGATGAATTGAAGAAAAATTTACTATACATCAGAGCAATTATTCAACTGTATTCAGAAGCCAAATAGTGAATATATATTATGAAATGAATATGATCGCTTATTTGCATCTGTACAAGCACGAAAGATGAAAACACTCTCCTGCTTGGCTAAATTTACTATTTTCGTGTCTTCTCAAATGGTAATTTTTGTGTTTGAGAATTAAAGTATCTAATCTTCATTTGATAATAATATATGAAAGTTAATCGATGGCATTCGAATTAAAATTAAGCAAAACCGACAGCCATACCCTGCCCGGCCACCTTCGACTGGGTTGAGGACGTCGGTTGCGTGGTTGTGGTGAAGACCGCAGTGACGTACGACGTCGCTCAGGCCTCGTGCCCTGGAGGCTCCCAGCTCGTCTCTCTCTACGCTGACAACTTCCAGAAGCTCGCTGGCTACGTCTATCGAACGTCATTCGTACCGTGTATGTTATAATGAAAATGATATAGGTATTACAATATTACTAGTGAACGTGATGAATTGCAGCTTGTTCTGTATTACAGCTTCTGAATTAACATTTCTTATACTTCTTGTCGAGATTGCCTTACGGCTGCATTTATTTGCACATACTCGTCAATGCCCCTTGGGATGAAATGTTGACCTTCCTATTTAATTTCATAGCGTCCATTCTCTTTTACATCAGCTGGCAAGAGTAGTGATTTGTACCACGTGGGGGTTCACCGCTACAACCTCGTGTGGACTTGGCGTACCGGCCAAGTCATGTCCGGCGTGCCCGGCACGGCGCCTTGAGGATCTCTTGACCCCAACGATAACTCGGACTGTGCGGCCATCATGTACGTTGGGACATCACCGGCCGTCCTGGTTGACACGTCATGTGCCAATCAGAGATTCTATGTCTGTGCACTACAGTGATGACAGACCGGTGCGATAGTCAAGTAATATAATGCAGTACCGTAATAACAGATATAGAGTAAACCTATATAATGACAGATATAATTTTGAAATACTAACCAACACAATAGCGATGTAATAGCAGGATCGTTAGTACAGGGATCAGTTGTGCGGGAGTGGTTTAAAGACCTGTAACAAATTCGGTGGATCATTTGTAACCTATTTTCATGATGAAGTTAGTCCGTATAACTGATTCAGTAATTCACAATTAATATGCACAGAGATGCATTGATAGTACATGTAATGAAGCAGTAGTGGGCGACATGATTTGAGTGACGACAGTTGAAATGTAGGGACCATCGATTAAAATAATTGAAACAAAATTTAGTGGCATTCAAAGCTATTTTTTTATGCATTTTCTGGTCTTCGGTAGTTGCCGTAGCAGCTAGGGAAAAATAACAGACTGTGATGCATCAAAGGCCAGAAATAAAATGATGCAACCGCAATGATAAATGCGCTGTGCAACAATTACTGCCACCATGACGCAATGGTATCTCCATGTCTCGCACATTTGAACAATAATGACGCAGCCGTAACATCAAGTACAATGATGCAGTTAAAAAGTATTGATATTTCAATGAGGGCCGATACATTGTTTTAATTATTAACAGGCAGTGTGAAAACCAGATATAAAAGAGCAGCATCGGCAGGTATTGGCTTTACATGCATCTTGGCTTTTCCTTCCGTGTTAATTAATAACGACTCTGAGTATAAATGCTCATGAATTCTTTTCCGAAACTTTTGTAAAAAATCCTGGTCCGCAATAAAAAACATTTTCTGCGGGAATAGATCTTTCTGCACGAAGCATTCAGAATTTTTTAAAAAGTATAACCGTTATATAATATGATCATTAAATATAATAAAACGATTACAAAAAACCATTTATGTATTTTCTTCGAGCATTTAACTGGAGTTTGCAGGCATTTGGAACCGCAGCGAGGGTGATCTCTGGTTACAGGCAGAGGTGGGCAGTAGCGCGCTACGTGTAGCGGTAGCGCCCACTACAATCTAGTGGGTTTAGCGGTAGCGGTAGCGGCCGCTGCATTTTAGAGTAGCGCTGTCCAGCTCTGGTACAGGGCTTCTGAGGCTAGAGCGAATTGCTACCGTAAAATTTAGTTACACGCAGCAAGGATTTACTCACTTAATGCATTCACCGTCTGTTGACAACGTTGATTTTGTGAAATATTCCTTCGTATTAGAATGCAAATAAGGTAACACATTGTGAATGTTGTCACTGCGTGTTGCCAGTGTTGAGTTAGCGTTAATCCTCAGTATTTTAGAAAATAGGGACAGTATGAGGTAACACTATGATTATATAGTCACTTTGTGTTGCCGCGGTCAAGTTAGTGAGATATTACTTTGTAGTAGGTTATAGGTAGAGTGTAAGGTAATACTTGGTAAAAATCATCGTTCTTTCTCTTCTAACACGTTGGATCTTGATGCAGTAAATTACAAATAAAGAAGCATGAAGAATGACAGTTATTTAATCTTGAGTTCGTTCGAACAGCGAATAGTCAGGTTTCTTCGTAGCGTGTGAAAATTGTGTCGTGCTGGATTGACGTCCTGCATTATTTGCGGTTAATGGACTTTTGTTGGGACTTATTCGCTTTTATTTGTTCTTTAATTCGATTTTTAATAGATTTATTCATGTTAAAATTAGATTACAATAAAAAATTAGGTTACGTGAAGTGTGATAAAATAATAGCTGTTGCGGCCTATTTCGTGCTTTATAGCGTAACTTTTGTTTATGGCAGGGATTAATTGAATTACAACAAAAATGGATTAATGAATACGCGTTCATCCAGGGTTCATTTTTGCTTTATATTCCCAGAAGTCACGGTTTCTGGAAAGAAACCGTTACAAATACAAAATTTTATTCAAATTAACAAGGTTATTGAATTTATAAACAATTTTCGATAAATATTCAAGTAATTACAAAGGCTTTCTATAAACAACAAAGAAATGTTCGAACATGAAAACTAGGCTTGCCAAAATTCGTTCCTGATCTTAGCTCGGCCTATACTCTGCAGCCGACAGATGACGAATGAACGAAAAAGTTTGGCAGGACCACAGAACTAGGCTAGCATCCCAAGGCAAATGTTGCGTTCACAACACTATAGACACTCTTTTCGACCACCTTTGTTCACATTGCTAGCTCTACCCTCTATACCCGCACACTTCTCGATTATTGATTGAAATAAATGTTTTCCTGACACCTTTTTTGAATGTACATCTTTTACCAGTCAACGAAGAAGGAACATCATCAGTGAGTTCTATATCTTCATTTTAAACGCAGATATAGAACACATATCTCATTTATAAACGCTGATGAATTCCTTGTCCTGCAAAATTGTCAAAAGAAAGTTAATTTTTTCTGACTATCGACAACATTGTTCGACGATATATGAAGCTCAAGGAAACTTATTGCACCTCAAAGAAGCGACATAAATCTCTGTGAATATTTAGGAAGTTTCCTGGTATGGTCAAATCTTGATTGGGAGGCTACTATATATCTGACTTTCACACCGTAATTGATGCTGTCAAAATACAGTAAGTTTGAGCTAATTTAAATTAATATGTCAGTTTCAATAGGAAAAGAACGCACTATGTCGAATGAATGATGTATATATTGCGGTGTATTAATTGCAGTTCTAGATTAACGTTTTGACTGTTATAAGTGAATTTATTTCAATATTCGGGAAAATTTTCACTAACTCAAAAATTAACAAATACTTATTCTGTTTTAGAAACTGGCGATCTGATACTTGTGCAATTAAAATAGATTTTTGCCTCTTGGAAGTGAATAAATGTCAAGGTTTGTGAGGAATTTCGAGTTTAATTTAAAAAGTTATGAATATTAATTCTATTTTAGAAACGGCCGAACTGATACCTGTGAAATTATAACAGGCTTTTTGCCTCCTTGAAGTTAATAACTTTCAAGGTTTGGGAGAACTTTCAAGTTGAAATTACAAAGTTATGAATGTTAATTCTATTTTAGAAACGGGTGAGCTGATACTTGTGAAATTATTACAGACTTTTTGCAGCTTCAAAGTGAATAAATTTCCTGGTTTGGGAGAATTTTCGAGTTGAATTTAAAAAGTTACTAGTACTAATTCTTTTTATAAACGGCAGAACTGATACTAGTGGAATTATATTAGACTTTTGGCCGTGATAAAGTGAATAAATTTCTAGGTTTGGAAGAACTTTAGAGTTGAAGTAAAAAAATTATGAATTCTAATACTATTTTAAAAGCGGCTGAACTGATACTCGTGAAGTTGTAACAGACTTTTTGGCTTTTGCCGCTTCAAAGTGAATAAATTTCTAGGTTGGGAGAATTTTCGAATTGAATTTAAAACGTTATGAATTATACTGAAGTACTACGTCGGCTCTACTGATACATGTGAAATCATAACAGACTTTTTACCGCTTTAAGGATAATAATTTTTTAGGTTGGGAGATCTATCGATTTTATAGAGTTAGGAATACCAATTCTATTTTGATAACAAAGGAACTGATATAAATGGAATTATAACAAACTTTAAAACTTTAAAGTGAAGAAAATTCAAGGATTCCCTGTCAAATTTTTCGTGCCGATTAAGGTCGTTTCAGTGGCATTATATTCGGCTTAGGGGTGAATTAGGTGCAAGTCGGCCACGTAGGGTGTTTAGCTGCTATTTACCAGCCTCTTTTGGAAGTCAATTGCCCGGTAGGCCAAATCTGCGTAATATGATTAAAAAGAGCAGCTGGTCAAGCTTCGTCATGATGCCCCTGGTCAAACGCTGATGACGCTAACCGCGTGATGGGGCTGGTCAGAGGATAAACAGGGTAAACGCACGAACCATGACCATCTCCCGTTTTATAAAGGGCGTCGATGAATGAGCACGCGTACGTTCGCTATGTGATACGACGGAATGCGAGTCGAGTAACGTGACATATAGAATGTTGAATTTAGCATATGATGAATAAACCCGTGCACCTACTGTTAATGAGGAGAATTTTTAATCTGCCTCTTCTACATATTATACCAACTACTGAGCACCTATTTCTCATGTTCGAATGAAATAAATAAATTGTTGTAATAACTTGAGCAAATTAAAAAAATCAGTTGTTACTTACACTCATGGAAAATGTGAGCTTAATTGGACCTAGTTTAAAAATCATTGACATTTCCATCCATTTAATGCATCAAGAGGGTAAAAAGTCTTGTTTTAGATCAAATCTAGATTAATAACTCATTTTATGGCTTTTTTGCGTTTTGCTTGAATGTTAGTTTACGAAATCGCTCAGGTAATTGAAAATTGCGGTTATATAGCAGCGTGCCAACAGGAAAGACAAATAAACTTTGTCGTAATTGAAGTGAGTCATTATATAGAGAAAAATATTGCACTGAATTGCAGAATAATTGAGGTGAATTAGCTTACTTTTCCTGATAAAATATTTCTTTCTTGGCACTTCATGATTAGAAAATCCAACCGTCCCATTCTTTTTCGCGTGGCTACTAAAATACTTTAATTTTTATATCAAACATAGCTTTTGGACCGCAATTCTCAATATATTCGACAAATTAGTCATTTAACTTTTTACCCAAAACACCAAACCGTAATTGACATAACCAGATGAAGTCATCGATAAAGACCACCAGACCGGGAATTTTGCAATTTTACCATCATTATCATGGATTAGCAAGAAGCAATATATTTTTGAGATATTATAATTACAAAATATTGTGTACAGCATATCGTATGGGCCAAACTCGATCAATACTATTACTAAGTATTAATATTGCGAGACAACAGTCACCGTCTAGAGGCGGCCTTATGTGAGCATTCGCACGTGTATCATGTGGCAACATTTCGGAAACGCTTCAGCCAACAGCTTTAAACGGGTTTCTTCATAACCTTGTTTCCGGAATAAACGTGGAACTTATAGTCTTATTATCAGTGATCGAAGTTCGCAAGTACGGTAAGTATATTATACATACGTATTTTTTATTTATCGCATATAGGTATCAACGATATAATTGAGACCAACTCAAGTTCACACTGTCACTGGTGTCGCTACTTCAATCCATATGATTTGCATGGTGTCGCCTCTGAACAAATACAAAGGAAAGGGAAACAGTAGTCTGGTTAGCAATTCATTTATTTTGTATACGAATTTGAAATTAAAGGCATATTGATTATCATAACTCAATAAGTCTTGTTCTACTTTGATTATGTTATTAATCTCTTTCTGTAAGAGCGGTGACGGGCTGCGCGACCACAGTAGCCATTGTGCGGTGTCTGAATCAATAAATTAGAATCAAGATTAAAAATATTCAAATATAATAAATATGGTTGCTTGAAAGTTGCTCATTTTTGGATAAATTTGAAATTTAGTGGAACAATCATGCAGTTTTATTAACTATTGGATAATCAATATAAATTTCATATAGTTGGGTAGAAAAAACTTGTCGCATTAGATAATAATAATTTTTTTCCAATAGCATATAAGTCATGAAATTGTGAGTTTGCAATAATTATTTCAAATATCTGATGCTCCTAATTCATCTTATATCAAATTTGATCTAGAAATAATTTTTAGCGCATTTTCTCATTTATCGAAAAAATCCACTATTGTGCTCGTCCTGTCCGTCCGTCTGTCTGTCCGCCTGTCTGCCCGTCCGTGACTTCACGTTTTCGTCGACGAGAAAATGCGCTCTCTGTCACTCACTGTAGAAAGTACTGAGTTATATTTTTTATCATTTATTCCGGATTAATAATTGGCACAATAGATGCTGTACCATTGGTTTTCGGATTCGGTGAAAACGGTAGAACCCAATCCCTTATAAATTTTATATACGCTAAAAACAATCTAGCGGGAAATTGCCAATTGGAGTCGTTTAATTTAAATAAGGTGTTTAATGGATTCGGATTTTATTTTTTGACTATCGTGTTTAATATATTTCCACTACCAGATAACTGCACTTCGGAGCAATTCAAGAGCAATAACGGCGCATGCAAGGAGCCATGGGCGATATGCAATGGTAACAATTGCGCTGACTAATGAATACAATGACGAAATAAACTGTGAGCCTCTAACCATATTTTTTTAATCAATCCTAATAAACTCACTTTACTCTAAGATGGAATTGGCCTATTTTCCTATGTATGATTTTCTTCCTACTTTAAGATTTATCCCAATGAGTTTTGGATTGAAATATCTTAAATTAGAATTGCGTACGGAATTATATGCTCCACTGTAAAATGTTCATTTGGTGCCCCCAGGTAACTGCACTTCAGAGCAATTCAAGTGCACTAATGGCGTCTGCAAAGAGCAATGGTTAGTGTGTGATGGCAACGACGACTGCGGCGACAACAGCGACGAGCTAAACTGTGAGCACCAAACTCTTCATATGTCTGGGGTCTGATGGTCTCAATTCCTTCTAATATAGAATTGATTCTAATGTTTTCACCTGTGGTATGTGTTTTTATGTTGAATTGATGATGGTGAATTGAGATGTAAATACCGCATATTTTTATTTTGCCGCCCATCACCAGGCTGCTGCAGTTCTTGGCAGTTCGAGTGCCTGCCTTCCGTTGTGGTGTGCGACGGTGAGGCAGACTGCGAGGATCATAGCGATGAAGAAAACTGTCGTGGTGAATCGCTTTAATACTTTCTCCAGAAGCAAGTCTAGGGATTGTGTGTAATGTTTCCCAGATGACAAAAGGTTTTACAAACGAATGTGAAACCTAACATAATTATAAATCAAAATGGGAAGCGCAGAATAACGATATATTTTATTAACTTTAAATAAGTTTTATTATCCTCTCAATAGTGAAGAATGCGTCATCAGCTCAGACTATTTTTGAGGAAAATTATCCATCACCAGTGAAAACAGAGTCAATAAACATATTTTTCAGCATTTGAATGTGGTCTACCTGTTCTTATTAATATCGTTCATAATCATCATAGATGCATATATTTCACCAAAGTTTGGTGCCGCCACTGGCCTCAGGCGTTGTCGTGCGCGCCGGATCAGCAGTAGGCACAATTAATGAGTATTATAAAATATTTTTTAACAAAATTTCTTCCCGATAGATCGCAGCAGTAAAAATTGTCAGTTTATTTATTTATGAGAAAGAGATTTGGTACACGTTTGAAATTTGAATGATTTATTGAATTATTGAAATAGTTCTGAACGCCTTAAAACTAAGGTTCGTATGAAAGACATAGTTAAATACTGGTCTCTAATTCCGTAGATTTTAGCTTGTCATATAGGCTGTCGAGCTCGATAGGTGTAAGAAACTATCAAAATGGCATTCAACAAATGAGACACAAAGGAAAACAAAGAAACCGACTGGAAAAACGACTTACATAAATGAGCGAGCCGTTTGAATGAAAATAAATATAATTGATGTTACATGGAAACGATTTTTAATAGTGATTCTGCGCATAGCCTACAGTCCCATTGAAATATGTCCCTTAATATGGTCATGCAATATGGTTAAACATTAAAGGAGATGTTACCTAATTACATCAAAACTCAGAAATATTTTGGACCATAAACTTCTCTATATAGTGCTGTGCATTAGGTTGTCGTAGGGCAATTAGCGATGCATGCGCTACAATTCACGCAATGAACCTTCAATGCGTTGTGTCTCATGACGATCAAGCATTTAAAATTAGCATAAAAATTTGGAGTCAGGGGGAACAAGGGACATGATAATAGTAATATTTACCTTTCGTTCAGTTCATATCTCTGAAACACAGAATTATAACTTTCTCAACAGTTTTTTTAGCGAGTTTAAGTTTTTTCAGCAGTTTCTGTGCTCAACAACTCATGGCCGGTAGCCAGCGTAGCTCAGCAGTCCTCCGTGTTGGCACTCGCCAGCAGTGGTCCGAAAAACTTTAAAAGTAGGCGCTAACAAAGTGAACTGCGTCACTAAACTAGACTCGGTGAAATCAATCGTAGTCAGTGAGATAGGAAGTCAAGACAATCACGGTATAATTCGACCTCATAAATTTCCATGAATAATTTTTTCCGAAGAACACAATATATTACGATTCTTTCATTGAATGAATGTTAAGAAAGTATAAATATCACTTGATTGCTTGAGCCGCAAATTCACTATAAGTTTAATGGCAGTGGAAATGCAACAAAAAATTCACAATACCTCTCTATAGATGACGCTTCAGTATCCAGCTACAATTTCATTAGCTTAAAAATTCTAGAACGCAGAGACATTTGAATCCAAAATGGGCAAGAATTACGTTAAATCTAAATTAGCAACCGAATTACGTAGCAAAAAGCAGATAAACTCATCTATTTACAATTTCGAGTAGCAGAAAAAAACATAAGTGGCAACAAACTAAGCTTCGATTTTAAATATACAAGACTTATGAAATTCATGAAACGAAAGTGGTAATTAACGCTCCGAGAGTGAAAACTAAAATTTTAAGTCACTGAATGCATTCAGTTGAATGCGGGGGGCGCATTGATATATGTACAGTTCAGCAACTCCTCCTTCCATTCTCCGTCAGTCTAGAATAGAAACTGTTTGACGTTAAACCTATACACGGTGACGCATATCGAGCATAAATGCATTAATAAACTAGTTTAGAGTCTTTAATTTTTCTTGAATTGTAATATGTATCTTAGCATGTCAACAATGTGTATAAACTTGGTTACAATTAAGGACAGACATATATCAAATAATTTTTAAAATAAATGTGTCAAACAGACTTAAAACAAATGTTACAGCTTTCAAGTCTCTATCTGGCACAATTTAGTCACAAGACCTAATTATTTAGACCTATTTAGTTTCTAATGCATGACCGTCGCAAAGCCCAGTTCATGAAAGTCAAGTTGCCCTCCAGTGACGTCAGAGCCACTGCATCTTGGCTGAAACATATACAGATATTTCGATGATTCCTCCGCACTGTCTTCATTTTATTGTGAAATTTCATTGGCAAATCAAATTTTAAACACAGGTGACATTTTATACGGTTTATTTGATGTAAAATTTAGATCTTGGCAGTACCAAAGATTCTATGGCTTATAAGCTTTAAATTTAAATATATACTTCGTAAATTTGACTAAAACTGATCTTCAAATCTCTCTAGCAATCGTTTCCTATTTCACAACAGCCCAGTCATGTGAAGTTTCAAAAGACGATAGGAAAATTATCAATAATCAGAGAATTTCAGAGTTAAATAATTTTATTATTCAATATCATTTAACCTCTGAATAAATGTTCAAAATTACAACTGTATTTTCCATTTCGTTTAAATTCCGAGTACCGAGACGCAAACTCACTGGATTTTTGCTGTCAGTTTTGGTACACGCGGAAGTCGCTGAGGTAAGTCCTGGCTGCCTGAAGCATGCACTGCAGCTGCGCCTGATAAAGGGGGCAAGATCAGGGGAATTTGGGATATGATAATAATAACAGTCACCTTTTTTGACAGTTTATATCTTTGATTATTTAATGGTCATAACTATGATATTCTCCAATGCTCCATATATGTATGGGGAATATGATGGTTTTGGAGTAAAGTTAGGCAGATGATCTATCTTGATTTACCGGTAATTATGTTATTCACCTCATTGATGATGAACTGCTGGCGGTAGCGGCGCAGCTTGACGGCGGTCCTGTAGACGTCGACGTCCTGCCGCTCCTTCAGCCTGTCGACGACGCTCAGGACGCCCGCTGCCAGGCCACAGGCAGTCACGCCATCCCTGCAATGAAGACATTTTTCCTTCATCACATTTTGTTTGTGAATCAAAGATAATGGCGGGTGTTTTATCCTCCTGTATGAACCTGAAGTCGTTCTCTCCGTCATACAATAATTATTGATATAATAATAATGTGAAGGTAAGAATACTAATGCATGCCCTCACCCGCAGACGAGCACAGTGGGCCCTGCAGACTTGTTGGGTGAGCTGCAGCAAGTGTCGGCAAGGCGGACCAAGGAACTGACGTCAAGAGGACAGGCCATCCCGCGAGGCCAGTCCATCACCTCGTACACTAACACTGCAGCTGATGTCTGAGGCAGAAATTGGGAAACATCTTGATTTGTGGTATAGTTTTCGCTACATTTTGGCTAAAAGTTTGCTTTTCTGTCTCAATGCGCAGAATTTTTCAAATAAATTCAACAGAAAATATATAAATATAAATATATTATTCATAAATGCTAATTAGATTATAATTTTTTGAAATAAATTCTTCGTAGGTGCTATGATAGGCTAGCGATGCAACTTATTTCTAATGCATGAAATCTGAACGAGGTTTAGCGGTACAAGATACCAAGTTATTAGCAATATGTACAATACCACATCACGGTGCAACAAGTGGTCCATGTTTTACCAACAAAGATAAAAAATCAAATTTCGTTTGCTACCGAATTTTCTTCTACTTCGTTACATTTAGCCAAACAATAGTGCTCCTGGCCCATTACACAAGCATTGATCTCACCGCGCCGACTGCGACTGAAACGCGATGGCAAATGAGGTGAGAAGCCGCGGCCATCTTGGCTACCGTCTTCACCTCCACCGTCGCCGCTCTCAGTGTAGCGCCGACTGGAGGGAGCANGTTGGCAATGAACCGCATGCAGCATGCAATAAAATTTGCATCGCCATTGATGAAACGTTCAGTCCACACCAACATACTTTTGGGGTGACTGGAGGCAATGTCCAGAAGCATGCTGGCGAGCGCGAGTGTATCGGATGGATCTCCTTGCTGCGGCCACGCGGCGTAGTGGTAGTGAGTGACGTCACGCAGCACAGACTTGCCTTCCACTTCCATCTTTACCTGGTACAGGGGAACATAAATTACTACACTGTCGTGAATAAATGAGGTGTTATTTTTCAAGTTACTCTCAGAGTCTATCAAATGTTAACGTAAAGCCTTTCAATAAATTAATTGAACCTAAAATTAAGAACATCGTTGCATCTTTGAAACATAGAATTGAATTGCACACGCTCCTTGTTTCGGAATAACCTCGGGCAAGAATTTTAACCAATTCCAAAATTCATTGTTAAGGTCTGAATCATTCCCGTGGTGAGTGGGACAATAGGTCAAAAATCTTTAGCTTAGTGACTGAAATCTTTGTTAAAACATATTTGTTAATTCGTCTCCGATCACACGGCGTTACCTCACTACATAAGGAACAATAATGAGATGCGTCTGAACTTTACCTGGATGCGAGAGACGTTGTAGCTCGAGGGGGTCTCGGTAGACAACATCGTGACCATCACAGATACCGGCGGATCTTGAAGCATCACCACGCCGTCATAACTGAAGTATTGGCCGCAGCTTTCCTGATGAAGACGAAAACCGTTAAAATTTATACGTTACATAATTATTTGATCCTGTAGATTGTTACACATCCTTCGAATCTATGGCAAAACGCCTAATGTTCCAGAACCACATGAAATTGAATGGGATGAAATAAGTCCACTATTTACTCAGGCTTATTTTGTTTGTATCTTATGAGGCGGTAATTACTACGGCCCCAGACTCGCTATTCCATTTGCGATTGCCTGGATGGAAATTTGAAGTTAACCCGCTACCGACGTATGTCACTTTCCGGGAGCACAACTTTCAACTCAAATTATACGTAAACTATTGATTGTAGCATTCTGAAGACGTTTATACGCAACAGAGAACATTTAAAGTTGTACCTGGCGGCAACCTTCACTGCAAGTCATTTTGCGCTCACTGGAACGTATCCTTTTTGGGAAGTATAGGCTTGTGACAATATTGATCTGGTTATACTCATGTCAGGCGGTATAGGGTAAATTCGTGTTGATTGATTGATGGATATATCGCCAGCGTCCGTTCAGAGAAGACAATGACCAATAGCCATTGTATTCTGATGGCCATCGATCATACACAGCATAGAGATGAGAAATACTAAATTTTATTGCAGTTAATGTCAAATTTTGATCATTGAAAATTTTTCTGTTTATTTTTTTACTTTATTCTATTGGTGAATTCACGAATAAGCCATGAGTTTAATTTAACCAAAATCCCAATCTATTTCTAAGTTAAGTTATTTATCTACTTCGGTTCATCTATCGCTTCTCAAACTTGAAAGTTGGTTATTTAATGTATAAAAAAATAAATTCACATGTATGGGATTACAAAATGAAACATGAAACACAGTTCATTCAGTCCTGCGGCACGAAAAAATTCGCCTTCAATCGTCATTCATGATAAGAGAGAAAAACTACAGTTGTACTTTAAAAGCAGCAAATCGATTATACATGCAAAGGTACCAACACAACCATTGTAGACGCAAGGCAACTCACTGCGTTGTCCTCGATGAAGTCCCCAATCATAATGATGACGTTCACTTGCTGTTCGTCGATCATCCTCCAGAAGTCAGGGATCGTGCACAGCTCTTCGCTCTTGGGTCCTTGGGCGGCAATGTAGCGACGGTGGGGGCCGGCCCCCTGCGTATGAAGTGGCATGCTGGCTTTACTTACGCACAGCCATGCGTACACAGCTTTAGACATTAGACACACATTAATGCAGGCATGTATATACATTTATACAGGCATGTGCATACATCCATGAATAGACTGCCATAGACAAACATAAAAAATTTATACATAGGGCCATGTATACACATCAATGTGTAAACCGCTATAGATACACAAACAATGTATAGATATTCATAATACCCTTTGCTATAACGTCATTCCAAAAATTTAACTTCAAGTGTTGCAAAACTATTCACCTACTTGATAATGAATGTAGTTGCATTTGAAACGTCGTAATTTATAATTAAATGTCTCATGAAGACCTGATATATGAATTTTCAGGCCCTATCATCAGCCTAATTCGCCGAATTGGTATGAATAATATAAATATTGTCAATTAGATACACTCTTTGAGTTTCAATGGAACCTGCATTAAAGAACAACTTCTGCCAAACTACAACAAGATACACAAACTGTCACGTTCACTCAGCCAACGACACTAAACCATCAACAAGCAGCCACATTCACTACCTTACCATTGCATCAAAACCCAAACAGTCCTCAAAATACAGCGCTAAACCACTGTTAAGTGCACGAAAACTTTAAAACATCATCATGACTTAAAACAGAGCAATGGAAATCCTTGTACTGGTACACTTAGTCAAAAACAAGCAATCTTACACATGCAGCCGACCGCTATAGCAACTTTGGACACAGAGCAAAAATTCATGAACTTTCTATCATGACACACACGCGTACAAAAGCCAACCGTCCGTACCAACCATGCGCTATCAACCATGTTGGAAGCAGAAAACGAAAATCTACACGCATTCATCTTTTTCAGGACACAGTAAATTACAAACATCGACACTAAAGAAGCCGGGCCATATGACCTACAGCTAAATTAAACAGCCGTGTTTTACTGGAACGACTTGCCGGGGCAACAAGGGTCTGCGCGTCAAACAGGCCTAAAGGGAACGCGTAAGATGACAGGTGCGAGAAAATGTATGCATTTTCAAATATTTTCAATTAAGCAAAATCTCAACCCTTTAAAGTACAAAACACTAAACTTTATTGATAGAAACCAAACAATTTTCTTCTTTAGGAAATTACAGAATCGTTGCAAATTTTGGAATATTGCACATCACATGAACGTGATGCTTTACCTTGTTGTTAATTTCTTTTGGTTTCAAGCCGACATTGACTTTTAACATGTACCTCATTCAGCACATTGAAGATGTGGCATTTACATTACACTATAATTATTAGACGAAATTAACAATTAAATTAGAAGAACATGCACAAAGAACTTTGACACCTCCGTGGCCATCATTTTCCAGGTAAAGTTACATAGGAATACAATAGCGTTGAATGCTGAGAGAAACTTACGGTGATGTGGCTGGCGTTGATGTAATCGGAGTGCGGGTCGATGTACGCGGCATAATCATCGATCTCCAGCAAGTGCACCCTCGTGTCGTCGTCTGAGAACAAGTTTGTGTATCCCAATGAGCATAATAGGCAAACTTTGTGATGATATTCATGAAATATTCATTCAAAGTAAGTTACAGTGATATGATCTGGTATTCAGATTTTAAAAATACTTTTAAAAACATGAACGCCAGAAGGCTATACTCACAAGGTAAGTTGTTGCCGTATCTGTTCTTTTTTAGATTGCCAGCCAATGCTGCCACTCTTGTGGGTTTGTCGCGGTTCACCGGGATGCTCTGAGGTGAAGCATATTGGTGAAGCATTACAGAGAAATAAATCGAATGAACTTCTCAATACATATGATTTTAGTTGGATATTTGGCCAATAATAACATTGAATGAAATAATCGATCCAACAAAGTTTTATTGTCACAAAATTACATACTGCCACATTGCACACAGATTTTCCAAGCCGCAAACAAGTCACGATTGTCTGAAGAATTTGCGTTAGATTTCATATGAGACGATACACTGTTCCTATAATTAAATTTTGTTCTCTATTCATGGATGTAAAATCTAACCATGACGGAACACTGCCATTGATTGTTGGTATATGGTCACTAAGCTTGAGTTGTTCTTTCTGCAGTACAATTCAGAAATTGATGGAAATGTGGTTCCGCCTGAAGACGGAAATGAAAATTCAATCTTTGTTCTGTCGGTTAGGAATCGCCGCGAAAGTATCAATGTAAACATAACTCATAGAAATGCACAAAAGATCTGTATAGCATTGACAAAACTCACTGCAGCATCCAGGAAACGTTCTTTGGAGAAGTAGAAATAGAAAGGGAGGCAAACATGCGCTAGGCGGTTAACTAAATGTTTGCTTATAGGTTGATTGGAAGCATGTTACAGCATTTACAAAATCTATGCAGTGTGATGAAATCTGAGCAGTAGGTGTTGGTGATGGCTCGGAGTGGATTGTTTCATACTCCTATGTTTTTGTATATATGTTAGATGGAGTGTCAAACACCATTCATGTATTATAGACTGTTTTTCTGAATGATGCTTAATAAATAAGCAGTTTCAGTATGATGCTTATGTTGCTGTTTCTGGTTACAAATTTCCGCCAATTTTGTGTAAATATTGTTTATTTTTCTTGGGGTACTTCTGTTTGTATGGCAGGAGGCGGCATGGGCCTGTTCTCTTTTGGAGTGAAACAAGTATTTTGTCGCTGTTCAGAACTGTTTAGGGAGTTCTGATGTTGGGATGAGTGCCTACTTTTATTTGTTTGGAGTGTTGCTGCTTGGATTGTAATAAAGTGGAAGATTGCCTAATGACTGTAAGCTCTGGTCCATGACCAGAGCATATGTTGTGTAGCTAAAATTTCAGTGCTTAAATTAGGAGGGTTTCGTATTGGTGTTTATGACAAGTTTTGTCATTTTCATTTCTACATTGTTTTTTAGGCGTTGTATTTGTCGGGTCTGGCAGTGGCAGTTTGGGCATTGGGATTTTTTTGTTACTAAATCCCATTTTCGTTGGTCCCCTTATTCAAGAGCGACTTCGAAAGACGAGTACAAAATATAATTAGCAAATAACTGTATAATCGACTATGCGCGAATTATCAAAAATTTATAGGTACAAACAGTACTGCTAAAAGAATCACCTTATGAACAATTTTCTTTGAGGCAGGAGTCAGCTTCTTTATGGTCCTTGGGAACAAGTAATGGTCCGTGATCCTAAGAATCACGGGGACTATAAATATTTTCATTATTGATTTTAAAAAGCATTGACATTTATTCCCACCGAGAACTTGTGCTTCATGTACAGCGACCCGATGCTCTTGTTGAGGAACGTTTCGATGTTCGCCATAGAAACGGGCAAGTCGTCTGCCGGAACCCACCCGGCTCGGAAATCATAAAAGTCATCATATACTGAAATATAAAATTGCTTATTAGGCGTAAACAAGGGAATCTAATTCCAATTATTTGTTGAACATACAAAAAAATTAAATTCTATCGATGTGGTTTAAAATAGAAAAAACAGTTAAATTAGCATCTTCGCTCACTTACAATTTCAAAAGCCTTTTACATCACGTTTAATTATAGAGCCCAATTAAGGAGTGAATTTTTAACTCTCGTGATCCGTGTTAGGTACGGGACTGTGTATCGAGACAAACTATACTAGTACAGAGCTTTCAATTTAAATTCGGTATTATATATATATATATATATATAAGAATTTCGAACAATTACCGGACAAAATTGGTAACAATACCGGACAGGGGTTAGAAAACCGGACAAAATCGAGTCCGGTTATTAACTCTGCAATTAGTTTGTACTTAAAAACCGGACACGAAAATAAATGAACTACACTACCGGTCATTCTAAAAAACGCCAACCTCGTTAGGTTAGGGTTAGAGTTAGGGTTAGGTGTGTATAAAACCCTTCTTTATAATGCTTGACACCTTTATATATTTATATATCAAAGAGTCAGACAATTCTTCAGATGACGTCGGTAGATCGAAAGGCACATATCAGGAAGTACTTTTAGTTTATTAACGACGTTTCGAATGCAACAAACGTTCATTTTCAAGTTACAATAAGCATTAAATATTGAAATTTTGGTGGAAATAAGTACATAATATACGTAAATAGGATACTACAGTGAAATTTGTATTTTATTCATTCTTGACTGAGATTGTAAGTTAAAAGAATACCTTGTAATCTGATGAATGAATACATAACTTAATGAATACTGGGTCAACCCAAGACGTTTGACCTGTTTTTGCTAAGAGATTTAATAAGTAAAAATTATAATTTTATGACATGAATATTACCTGCAGATTCTCTGCAGTTTGCAGCTCCCTGATGAGCATCTCGCTGCTGTGCGTTCTGATCCTGCTGCGGATGTCGGGCAGGTTGCAGCGCTGCTTGTTGACCATATTATATCAATGACGTATTCGTTTTGAACCTTCCATTTGTAATTACTTCTATTTTTATTATGAGATAATATCAGTTATAAATATGTTCAGTTTCATGCACGTAGTGATCAGCTACAATGTCGTCCATTGTTCTGGGGTTGCGATGTATTACGGTATTGAAATAATTTTGTCAGATAAGGCAAGGTGGATCAAGTTATCGGATCATAAAACGAACTCCCTTTGATTATCTAATAACCTACAACTAAAAATACTCACCAAGTATATAGGTTATTTGCAAGAAGTTACATCGCACTGTGCAGCGAGAACATTAAATTTGTGATGCTGTTAATCGAACGTGAACAGTTAATGATCGTAAGTAAGGCCCGCACGAAGAGGTCAAAGTTATTCTACCATCAGATTGTAGTCCTAGTTGACATATTCCATTTCGATAAAAATGCGAACGTAATATCGAAACCAACGTGATACAAACTTAAATGGCGGCATTTGTCTCGTAAAGATGTGCATGCTGCAACGTAATGGAATGTAATGTACCGTGTTTTAAGTTTCGTATGTTTGATGTTGTTAATTAAAACAATCTCTGGCACGGTTTTGAAGATGCTGGGAGATTTAAACGCTCGAAGCACGTTGGAAGAGTAGAATAGCACGTTTAAAGAAGGTGTAGTTAATTGTGGCAATTGATGAATTGAAACGGATATTGTTCAAGGTTGGGTTTAACTGGTTAAAGAAAAGCTGGTAAAGGGACCCAAAAAACATGGTCAGCATCATTTCTACGTATAGACTTGAGCATTGCGTAGAGTGACTTGATGAACTCATCTATCAAACTCTTCTAGACTTGTATAGGTCAGCATAGTAAGTCTTTTTGCTGCACTGCATGAGGCGAGTCTTGCACACGTACGATGTAACGGAAGGGTGTCGGGAACCGGAGGCCGCACAGGGACTTGGAGTCTACGCAGTTTTTTGCGCCGCTGGAAGCTGGACCTGAAACTGGAAGGAGAGAACTTGATCCAGCACGTGGCATCCTTGAAACACGCACAGTTGATTTGGAGCGTGAGGTATGTGTGCACGGAGCAGGTAAAGGTATACTACGGGTAGAGTTAAACAAATCACCCAGTATTCATTGAGTTATGCATAGATTCATTAGATTACATGGTATTCTTATAACTTACGATCTTAGTCAGGAACGAGGAAAATATTCAGCTATCAGGTAATGTTAATACCATGTATTCTTACCGTGTATGATCTGTGGCAGTTACAATGCCAAAATAAAAGAACTTACACCAGAAGACCGACCACCAGCACGAGGATCACCAACACGACTATGGCGATGCCTACGCCAGCGCCTGCTGCCATTCCGCCGCTGTCGCCAGCGATGATTGGACGGTCTAACTTTACTAAGACGAATTCTTCTTCGTCTGTCACAATATAGGAATAAATTATTAGATTGTGCACTCATGCAACTTGTCAGAGAAAAGATCTCAGGCAGAATAAATTCCTGAAATATGGACATTACAGAAGCTCTACGAATGACTGAATCGTACCGCTTCGATAAGGATACATTTTACCAAATACCAAAATACTTTAAAAATATGAATGCTTAGTCGTAATGTTTCAGACCACGCTATCTCCACCGCATTTTTATTCTCCATGTGCTGCACGCTTCATGATATTTCCAGCGCATATAAATGCTCACGTTTTAGACAGGCTGACATCATGACGTGCATATAAATGCTCACGTTTTAGACGGGCTGACATCATGACGGCGACGCCGTACGCGTTGCCCTTAATCAGGGGGCAGTTGCTGGTGCCTGGGGCGGACTCCCCCGAGCCCAAGACGAACTCCGAGGTGCCCTGACACACGCCAAATATTTAATGAATATAACATTTATTCACTAGTTGTTGAAGTTAGTGAAATCACTTCACCATTAATTCAAATGTCATGCTCATTTATTCATTATTACCAATTGTTCTAAGAAATCGGTGAAATGTTTACTTTAGCCACGTGTCCAGCGATGAATACAGGAGCGTTCTCAGCACAGCCAGGCCGAGAACTGCGGCGGCGACGGTTGATTTGCATATGATTTGCTCTCCGCCATTTGTGAAATTCAGCAGTAAAATTTACTCCTTCCAAACCAGCACTGATATTATGAACCATGATCGTGAAATTTCTGTTGTAAAGGAGAAAATAATACGCCCCGTTTAATTCAAAAACTTTAGCTAGACTTGTACTAAAGTTACGTTAATATGTTACTAAATGGTTGCAGAAATTACTAGCAAGGAACTTTTCGATTCTGAACAGAACTCAAAATAGAATAAATTTATAAGTTTGATTTTTGTATTCAAATTACAAAAAAATTACAAATGAGATTTGAAATGAATAAAATTCATTAAAGATCGTGTATGATACTAAAAATCTCAAATAACGCTTGTTCCTTGCTTACGTCTGAGCGTCTCCAGCTTCGACGGTGGGAAGTCGTAAGGTTGCGTTGGTGTCGTAAATGCTCACGACTTGCAGCCTGTCTCTCACCACCGGAGCCTCAAACTCGGTTGCTTCTGAGGCGTTGGTTCGCAGTGAACAGCCGACGTGGTTGCAGCACCACGACGAGAAGTCGTACACAGAACTAGGAAGAAGATCGTCCATCTGCGCGATGGAAGAAGAAATCAGAGTTTTGACTCATACCGCGCAAGGGATGATATTTGATCAACTTTCCAGCGTCCGAAACGTTACTCTATTTCTTCAGATAAATTAAACGAGATTCTTAACGGAATAAAAAAACGACGAAGGCACACTGACATTGGTGAATATTGAATTATTCGGAGTTCCATTCTTAAATTGTGAAGACACAATCTTTGATTTTACCGCGCAAAAATATTTTTTCGTAATATAAATGGCAAGTTTGACCTCATCGAATTTTATCACTCAATGAATGCTCACCGATGGGTTCATCTGCTGCCCGTTGTCGCTGATGTCGTAAGTATTGTTAGATATGAGGTCGCCGCCGTGAAAAGTTTCAATAAAACATTGTTTTGTGTTCGCCCCAGACGGCGTAAACGAAACGTTCAAGCCCTTCAGCCTTCTCTTCAGCGTCATCGTTGGTGGTTCAGGAGCTGTAATTAGCGAAATTAATTAATTGCTAAGGAAAGTGTAAACTGACATAAAGTTAATCATGTCCGCAGAGAATTTTAAACTTATATCCATTTGTGCTAACGTTGGCATGTGAAATTGTTATAAATTATTATATATGAAACTATTTTGTTGGGGAATATAAGCCTATTATGTTAATTATAGAAAAAGTCACCGGCAAAATTTATCCTCAAACACCTATTAATAATCGTCATAATTTATTTCATATCACGGAGGGTATGTAATAGGAGGCTCCTGTTAGACTCAAGTCACTGACGAACAGAGAGTATTTCAAGGGTTAATCATCATAGTTTTGCCTTCATCATTACAATATTTTAGTTGTATTCGTGTATATCAGATAACGCATGGCTAGTCAATTTCCAATAACGCATTCAATAATTTATTCATCGATTATTCATGTAGATTTCAAAAATTTTAAAATAATAAAGAAACTATAATTAAAAAGCGCAAAATTGCCCTATAATTATTGCTCATTCAAATGTAGAAGAAATTTACTATTGTCAACGAATCTAATACTTTTTCAAAGTTTACCAATAACTTGAGTCAATATGTCATAGCCCAAAAGGTTAAAACAATAAGACATTTTAAAAAAGTTACATATAGATTTTGATGATTCGTCACTAAACTTAGTGAGATGAAAAAAATGATCACTAAATGAGTCATCGATTAACATGATTATAATTACTCGCATTTAAATCTCAATCAACAAATATTAAATATCAATATGGGTTTCAGCCAACGCGAATAATTGCAATTAATCTTCTGATTGCATAAAATCAGAAGATTAATTTGGGGGATTTCAAATCAGAAGATTGGGGGATAAAATATTCTGATTTCCCAACCCCCCCTCCCCCCCCTCTTTACAATCCAAACTATGTACAAACCTAAAAAAAGGCTTCGTTACACGTTAGGTATGGTCTTTACGAAACGAATGGTATATCTTTCAATGCTTGAAAACTGTAGGAAGAGATAGGTTTGCAGTGAGAGCAATTGCAACTTTTCAGGAGAGCCCGACAAATAAAGTCCCGCGCGCATGGGAATAGGCACTCAATGTAGCAAGGATACAAAACTAAACGTTACTGGAGCTTGATTCCAGTCAAGGATGGTGGGAATGACTGCATGCACACCACCCCATACGACGCCAGGCAGGTAACTGAAGTGCAGCTCAAGCAGACATTCTATATATAGTGCTCGGAAGCTAATTTACCCGTATCTTAAATGTTGAAGAACTCCGCCACCCCCCACCCTTTCGCGATCTGCCGTGAACGCCTAAACTTTACTGAAGGGGCCCGGACGCCTCCCCCTTTACGGGATCTGTCGCAAACGCATAAATCAACGTACAGAGATGATTTTGGTACCGTTGAATGCGTCAGAAAAGCAGCTTTAAGATGAGCATAAAAACCGAGAGGGCCAAAATTTCCGATTTTCAGGGTATACCCCCCCTTAATTAACCATTGAACCAAATTAAATTGGGTGAAATTAAATATTCCCCGATAATTTATTGTGCTAATGTAATTAATTGTAACATTATACGTAATTATTGGTATTGAAGATAAATAAATATAGAAACCATTTTTTTAAAACGGGTTTTTCTGGTGGTCACAAAACTAAAAACAATGAAATAAAACAAATAAAAAAACTTTTAAGGGGAGCGTCTGTGGCAATTTTAATCTCGGTTATTTACGGACGGATCGATTCGAAATTTGGTACACGTACCTATGTAGAACGGAATTCACGTGTGTGAATTCACGGAATTTTTCGTGTGAATTTTTCGAAAAATGAAAGAAAACGTGAAATTCTTAGAAAACGGCCAAAAAAGGGGTACTTTCTCCCCCTTTCTTAGAGGGAGGAAATCTCCTCCTAGGAAATCCTAGGAAATCTCCTCCTAGGATTTTCAAGCTACAACATCGAGACACATATCATTCGATGCGTTAAGTCCATATCTCAAGAATGATGTATGCGTTTTTTGAAATACTTTTTTTGTGGGTGTGGGGGCATTTTTTGTAAATTTTTCGATTTTACCCACCGCCACCCCCCCCCCTTTTTGCAGAATAAAATCCAAACTATAATGAAATTAGAAAAACGCATACTTCATTTGGAGATCTCTTAATTCCAAATCGAATGGTATATTTCTCATTGATGTAGCTTCAAAACTCTAGGAGATTGGTTTGCAGTGGCAATAAGTTAACTTTTCAGTAGAGCCCGACAAAGTCGCGCGCGCCTCGAAATAGACATTCAAGGGGGCCAGGTTGCAAGACTAGACGATATTGGAGCTCAATTTCTGTCAAGAATGGTGCGAACGACGGCACGAGAACCATCCCGTACGACTGCAGGCGGATAACTGAAGCACAGCATGTTCAGACTAGCTATTTTAGTGTCCTACCGGTGATTTCGGCCTATCTTAAATGTTAAAGAACACCACCACCCCTAACTCTTGCACGATCTGTCGTGAACGCATAAAGCAACGCACAGAGATGGTTTTGGCACCGTTAGACGCGTCAGAATGTAAGCTTTAAGATGAGTATGAAAAGATAAAAGTAAAAATTTTCGATTTTGACCGACGCTCCCCTTCAAAATCACGTTTTCTTAACGGACAAAAAAGAAAAACATTGACTCTTACATAACATTACATAACATTCTACATAACTTTGATGTTATGTAAAAGAGTTAATGTTTTTTTTATCCGTTAAGAAAATGTGGTTTTTGAAGGTATTTTGTTTGTTTTATTTCATTTTTTTTAGTTTTGCAACCACCAGAAAAACGTGGTTTTTAAAATTTTTTTATATGTATTTATTTTATTCTTTTTACTTTGGAAATTTTAGCAATTCGAATCATTTTCCAAGGTTGGCAACTCTGGATGTTCGATAAAAAACTCGATTCCCAAACGTGAATTTCTACGTTTTTTATTTTTTTATTATTATTTTTTAATTATTACTTCTGATGATCAAATCTTGAATTGTTAGGCAGCATAAGCATGCATGTCAAATTTGAAGTTTCTAGGATCTTCAGAAGTGCTCCAAATTAAGGTTTGAATTTTTGATGACAGACAGTCAGACGGACACGAAGAGAAAAGAAGAAAAACATGGTAAAAATCCTCGATAAACTCTAGCATTGAAAAAGTCCGTGGTTAGGATTCCCGAGATCCTGCGCCCACAGCGCCTGACCTGTTTCTCGTGTACTGACGCTTATCGTCTCCGCTGCAGAACATCCCCAATAAGAGTCGCTTG